TGCAATCATGGGGTACAATGTGCTGGTTTTATATACAATTTGAAATGTTTTCATCAAACTGGTTAACATAGCCTTCATGGCATTTTCTTAGTCATTGTGTTAAGACATTTGTATTCTACATTTAGTAAATTTCACATGTACCCTTGTAAGATGGATGCACCATAGGTGTGGTTCCACCACTTACCCTCCCTCCACCTATTCTCCCCCCTCCCCTCCCCCATATTCTCCCCTTTCCCCATATTCTTGGGCTATAATTGGGTTATAGCTTTCATATGAAAGTGATAGATTGGTTTCATAGTAGGGCTGAGTACACTGGATACTTTTCTAAGAAGAATATGTTCCAGCTCCATCCATGTAAACATGAAAGAGGTAAACTCTCCATCTTTCTTTAAGGCTGCATAATATTCCATGGTGTACAAATACCACAATTTATTAATCCATTCATGGGTCAATGGGCACTGAAACTTCTGTTTTTAACTAAGCCATTACAAAGTCATTATCCACATCACTGCCTTTCCCATAGGAGAAAAGAAAATATAAAATAGGTATGTGATTTTGAGACATAAGGTCTAAAAACACATAGTTATGCCCTGCTAGGTTGTATGTATGTGAAAGCCTCAATCCCTTAAAAATTGTTAGATGAGCACCTATGGTGGATCCTTCCTATTATTCCACCCAGAACCACTTTCTATCTTTCTCTACCCTGTTCTGTCCCAAGAGTATGACCTGAATAGACTGTATCAAAGAGCTTCCTTGCCCTCTGACTTCCAGTTAGGTTTTAGCCAACTGAAGGTAAGAGTTGTGCCTTAGTAGGAGCCTGAAAGGAGATCATAGTATTTATTTCCCTGGCTTCCTACCTACTAGATGACTATTCCTATGTCCCTGACCAGAGGCTAGAGTTCCCATCAGATGGTCCTCTCCACACTAACTACCCTCTCTGGAGTGTGGTAACCATTTTCTCCCTTTGTCTCTTCAGGTCTAGTGATGGTGATGGCTGTTGCTAGCTCCAGATTATTGCACTGTCCCTTTGTGGTTTCCCTAAACCCTACTGTTACCTCTATATATAGTTTCTTTATTAAATCTCCTTAGTTACCCAGTGTGATTATGCTATCTGACAATAAATTGCCCAAGTTATAGCCTAATACCAGGCAAATACTACTTAAATCATGATATTAAAAGAGTTCTTCATACCCGCCCAAGATGGCCAGGAAGGGTCGCTCTGGGCTCTCCAAGGCCTTGGCAAAGTAGTTCAGCTCCTTCTTCATCAAAAAACCACCAGCCTTCTCTGGCAGATTAACTCCCACCATGGAGCTATAAAAGACCAAAGACATTGAAATTCTAGTCAATCCCTACCACTCCTCCCAGTCCTAGAGGCCAGCTCCTTATCACTAAAATACTTTCATTTGTAAGACTTCCGAAGACCATGATTTCCATCCTAAACTGCAACAAAAAACATTTTGGTATAAGATAAAGTTTTTAATTAATAGTTCAAGGTCAAAGGGAAAGAGTAAAAAGCAATTAACATAGGTAGAATTTAAGATACTCAATTAATGGTCTTCAGCAGTCCAAGGGCTTAATCACAGTAAGTAATTGGTTGGGCGATGATTGCAGGATAAGATTCCCCAACTCGCTTTGTACTGACAGTGTAAGAGTCTGATTTCATAACATTCACAAAGGGAGAACTCTACACAAAATATCTAAAATAAGAAAGAGCAGCTTCTTCTGGAAGTTCCATAAATTGACTACAATTGCCATCATTTTTACCTTTATTTTCTCTTTGTATCAGAGATACTCAACAATTTTAGTTTCTGCCTTTAGTTCCAATTAAAGGCAGACGCTAAAAGAATCACAGTAGAATAGAGAACTCTCCAAATGCAACCCAGAACTTGGGATGCTCGAGTAAACAGGAATATTTTTCTCAGCTTAGAATCTGACAAGATTCTTGGTACCTGTGGGCTCGATGAGCAGTGCCAAAAGCATCATTGACATAGACATCCCCTAGCTTGGAAAGTGAAGCTCGAAAAGCTTCTATTTTAGCTGGCTCAGCTTTAACCTACAGAAAAAAGCAAAAAACAAACAAAAAAAAAAAATGGAAAAACCAAACAGGAAATGTTGATGGCTCCACAGACAATTATAAAAATATTTCATACCACCAAGAGTCATTATGAACATCTCTAAAGACCCTGAGTTGGTAAGACAACATTTTTTTTTACAACTTGCAACAGGATCTGTTCTTTCTTATATATAAATATTCCAGGCCCTTTGGTCATTTCTGTACGTTCTTGCTCTCCTTTACTGTCTCTCAAATTGCAAACCTAATGTTCCTAAACCATGGCCTAATCTATAATCACATAAAGCTAATCACATTCCAATGTCCTCTACCCAGACCTCTAGCCCAAGATTCTGATTACATTCCTTCCCCTTACCTTGACTTACTTCCTCATTTTAATATATACAATGTATGAAAATCAGTATTATACTTGACTTAAGCTTCTGGCAACCAAGGCCTTTCTGCCCTCCTTCATATACCTCATAAAAGCATCAAGGGCAAGCTAGGACAGAAGGTAGATGGAAAAACGACAACAGAAAAGGACTTCAGAAACTATTACATATATATTGGTAAATAAGGAAGTATTTCATAGCCTTCCCTACAAGTTAGGCATCTGAGAAAACAAGAAATACACTTGTCAAAAAGAGGAAAAATGTAGAAGAGAAACACCGGGCTTTGAAATGTCAACTCATCTTCCAGGGATCCCCCCAAAGGGGACAAAAAGTAAGATGGTAAGATAAGCAAAATGAAGAGTATCTTGGCAGGAGATTAACCAAAGATGCACAGGAAGCAACCAGATGAAGGAGGACCGAGTACAGAAGATTACACAACTCAGGGCAGATGTTCACTTTAGTCACTGCCCACTTCTATCCTATGTATCAGGGACGTAAAGGAGGCTCCCACAAAGAATGGAGTTTTACTGATTTTTGACCTGCCTATAGCTAGAAAAGAATGCTCCTAAAAGATTAATGGGGGCACCCTGGATAAAGAAAAAAATTACGTCCTCACTTTGTTGTTTTGTTTTAGTCCATTTTGAACTTACGGCTGGCTTCTGCAATTTCAGGTATTGAAAGCCATTAGACACTGAATGTCAAGTCAATTTTTTAAAAAAGTCATAAACTAGGACAGTCAGTTCATCATTTCCCAAATAAAAGGTTTTGCTTTCATTTGCCAGTTGCCTCATGGCATTTCTAAGACCTAGGGTTTATGCGCCTTGAGTTTAAAAGGACACCATGTTTTAGGTTGGCATTTGACTCCTGCTACTGTAGCAAGACCATGCCAAAGGTAGGAAAAGGCAGTACCAGGGCCTGTGGTACTAAGAAACTGCTAAAGACCTTTAGAAATGTGAGAGACCAAAAATGACTAAGATAACTAAAGCATCTTGTTCTCCAAAACACTAAAGACCAGAAGTGTGGAAAGTACTAAAAAAGGCCTTTGGCATTCCTTCTAGCCAATTGGCAAATTCAAACTCAACCTTAAAGAAATAGCTTTATCATTTAATATTTGAATTCTGGTTGTCAGATCATAGTAATCCATTTTGTGATTTATCTATAGCTTTTTTTGCATGACAATAACAGAGGTGAGCAGTATCTACAGAGAGCATATGAGGTTGTAATTCACAGTATGACACACAAAGCCTAAAATATTAACTAGCTGGCCCTTTATAGAACAAAGTTTGCTGAACTAATGGACTAAGCTCTAAAGCCCCCAAACAGGACCACCACCTCTAACTTTAGTCTAAGTATTGCCTTTTTAAAACTTGGTTCTTTTTTTTTTGAGACTCAGTTTCTTTATGAAATAATATGTTATCTTCACTTCATCTCAAAAAGAGGTTTAAAGGATAGGGCGGTGCCTGTGGCTCAAAGGAGTAGGGCACCGGCCCCATATACCAGAGGTGGTGGGTTCAAACCCGGCCCTGGTCAGAAAGTACAAAAAAGAAAAAAGAGATTTAAAGGAAAATGTTTAATATGTTTTAAGAAATACCTTAAATCCAAAGCATTATCATCATAACCATCACATTCACTGAATACTCTTACACCCCAAAGATAGTACATGTTTTCCAAAGGTATTTCAAAACCACTTTGAGAATAAGAAGGGGTTCTGGGATGTCAGTGATACTCTATGTCCTGACCTGGACAGTGGTTACACAGGTATATTTACTTTGTGATAATTCATCAAGCTATGCATTTGTGCATATTTATATGTATGTCATACTTCAATAAAAAGATGTCTAAGGAAAAATAAATATCAGCTTTCTCTATTCTTCAATCACAGTCTCCTACAAACTTAGGCCCTCACCCCTAATATCAAAATCACAGGTCCTACCTTGTTCCCAGAAGCATCTTTTCCCTTCCCTTCTTCCTCCACATGAAAGCGGAGGTTCTCTAGCAGGATGACAGACCCAGCAGCTGGGTTGGCACAGGCTTTCTCCACCTCTGGACCTACACAGTCCTTCAAGAACAGAACATCCCTGGGAAAAGTAAGAGATGATACTTGAGCAGTCCAAAAGTTCATAACAGGTAACAACATACTTGACTACCTCTCCTCCTACAAAGTCTACCAGCACCTGAGCATGGTACTTACTTGCTCAGCAGAGATTTGAGTTCTACGGCAACTGGCTCTAAGGAATATTTGTCAGGCATGGGGACACCGTCAGGTCGGCCCAGATGGCTCATAAGTACAACTGACTTGGCTCCACTGTCCAAGCAGAATTTGATGCTTGGGACTGCAGCTTTGATCCTGCAACCAAAAAACAGACAGGAGACAGAGAGCAAAAAGTTATTCCTAGGAATCAGTGGACACTATTTTATTCATGGCCTCAAAAACTTAAAGCTCCTTTTCTTCTCCAAGTTCATTCAAATAAATCTACTGTCAGCAACTCGATGGTGGTTCTCAGAGGAGGAAGTTAAATATGATGCCAACCCTACACCTAGGGATTATATAACCTCATCATGTATTTGCCCTTTGTGCAGATGGGTTAATACACCAGGCCTGAGGCTGTTATATCCATAGAAGGGCCCGCATACAAGGATAGTCCTTGACTGGTTCTAGGAACCTGGCTTTCAAAGTGGTCCCTCAGTTCTCTAATTGACAAAGGATGTTCACTGTTCCTGGACTGCCCATACATACAAACAAGGTGATTTATGCTATTCTGAATACCCACTCTCCTCCAGAAGTTTGGGATTTTAGTAGTTACTAGGCAAAGGATATCGATATAACCAATAAAAATCTTGAATGCTAAGTCTCTAATGGGCTTTTCTAGGCACAAACACCATACCAATTCATGCATTTTTCACTGACAGAGAAAGGAGCACACTCTATGTGTCCCCTCATGGGACACTGGAAACCCATGCATGGATTTCAAGACTCCTATGTCTTCTCCGCCTTGCTAATCCTGTAATTTATTCTTTCACTGTAATAAGCTTCAGCCATAAGAACTGTTGAGTCCTTACAAATAACCATGAGCTATGTAGGTGGTCTTGGGGGACCCCTGAAACACCCTTCTTATATGACTATAGAAGATATATAAAGTTCCCAAATCTTTAAACCATCAAAGGAAATTTGTGAAAAAAAATGAAAGATAGGTATTAACATTTCTTTACCTATAGTTCCTAAGTCACTTTTTTTCTATGGGAAAAAATTAATGCATTATATAGAACTTGATTTACATAAGGTAAATCATTTATTATAATTCAATCAAAAATAATTAAACTTCCTTAAATATTTAAAAGTTTTATTACAAACCTGCTAACTTTCCATTTTTCCCATTTATAAGAAATTCAAATTGATAACAAAGAAAACCATTTATTTATTCAATAAATATTTATTGAATGCTTTTTTTTTGTACCAGGCACCATTCTAGGATGAGAATAAAATAGAATGAATTTTTTTAAAAAGAATAAATAGAATAAAATTTTTTAAACTGTCTCTGGCCAGGGGTGGTGGCTCACGCCTGTAGTCCTAGCACTTTGGAAGGCCAAGGCTGGATGATTACTTGAGCTCATAAGTCTAAGACCAGCCTAAGCAAGAGCAAGAATCTGCCTCTACTAAAAAACATATAGAAAAATTAGCCACACGTGCCTATGGTCCCAGCTACACTAGAGGCCAAGGTAGGAGGATCACTTGAGCCCAGGAGTATGAGCTATAATAAAACCAACACACTCTAGCCCAGGCAACAGAGGGACAGTATGTTTAAAAAGAAAAAAAGAAAAGAAAACTGTTACTGCTCTCATGGCTCATGGAGATGAAATTCTAATGGAAGGAGAGATATAAACAAATATAGGAAGCAGATTTGAGAATTTTCTCCAGTCTCACCACTTAGCACTATGTGGAATAAACTCCTTCTTTGCTGTTAGGAAAATATGTGTGTGTACACACAAGTAATACATCAGATAGTGATAAGAGATATAGAGAAAATAAAGCAAGACAAGAGACAAGAATGATTAGGGAACAATGGTGAAGGAGACTTTACACAGGAAGGTCAGGAAAGTCTAATCAGTAGTATTTCAGCAGAGAATGGAATAAAAAGCCAAGGTGTATTTCTAAAATTATCTTGCGCTTTTTAGGAGACATAAAAACTTATTTATGGCCAGGAGCAGTGGCTCACACCTATAACCCTAGCACTCTGGGAGTCCGAGGTGGGAGGATCCCTTGAGCTAAGGAGTCTGAGACCAACCTAAGCAACAGTGAGGCCCCATCTCTACAAAAAATAGAAAAATTAGCCAAGCACTGTGGAAGACACCTGTAATCCCAGCTTCTTGCCAGGATAAGCCTGAAGGATTACTTGAACCCAGGAGTTTGAAGTTGCTGTGAGCTAGACTGATGCCATGGCACTGTGGCCTGGGAGGCACAGTGAGACTCCATCTCAAAAGAAAAAAAAAAAAAAAAACAAGAATAAACTCTCATAGGAGATAAAAAAAGAAAAACCTGTATCACATACAAAGTTTGTGTAATGAAACCAATTAAGTTTTCAGACTATCTCTTATCATCAAGTTATATTATTTCTAATGTTTCATTTTGTTAATCAACTCTATAGATTTCTGGAAATGAAAATTCTCAGACATGTTTTTCTATTCTTTACTCTTAAAATACATTAATAGGGATATTTACAATCTTGTCTGTATGCTACAAAATAATGAAAATCAAGAAGAATCAGAGCTGCCTTACACAAAAACCTTCCCATTATGGTACAACAGGAATGTGTTTGGCAAAATACCAGGGTCTATTCTAGGAGTGATATCTGAAAATGGTCTTAGTCTAGACCTGTCCAATATGATATCCATTAGCTACCTGTGCCTATGGAGTACTAGAAACATTGACTAGTCCAAATTGAAACATGCTATAAATGTAAAATACATGCTGAATCTTGAAGGCATAGCACAAAAAATATTAAGTGTCCCTTTAATTAATTTTTATATTGATTAAATTTAAGATGATTATTTTAGACTTACTAGATTAAATAAAATATAGTTCACATTATACTTCTATACAGCACTGATCTAGATCATTACAAAATACCTTGCCAGCCCAAACCCTTCATTTAAAATTGAAAATAAAAACCTTTTTTTATAATATAGTCGAAAGCAAAAACAGTACTATCACTTAAAATTTCTGCTTCTGACTCTAGGATCCAAAAAATCAGAGCAGCTAAACTGACTAAAAATGTTATTTCTGAAGTGTCTTCCTTTTTGTTTTAAGAAGAAAAATAAATCAAAATTCTCAAAAATCCATTTGATCTAGGCCATCTGAAAGAAGGGTTTATAAAACTACACTTAAGTTTAATAATTATTGATATTTGAAAATCTTTCTCTTGCACAATTTTTCATTTTTCAAGAAAAGCCAAGTAACCTTAAATTTTTATATTCTTTACAATTAAATAACTCCCAATTCTTTAAATTTCTACACAACAGGGAGAGGGTAATCACTTTCTTAGGATTTTTTTTTTATATTTCTGTATTCTCATAAATAAGAAAACAGACCAGACAGTAGGTTGATGGAAAGCCAAAATCATATAGCTTATGTTGCTACACTTCTACAAAATGAAAGTAAAACCATTTCAATCTCTATACCCACACCCACACAGATTTTAAACCCACCCAAGGCTTAGCAGGGACCTTACCTCTGGTTGTTTGTTATCTGGTTGTTCTTCATGGGAACATTGAAGTCCACTCTAAAAAAGAAACAAAGGCTCAGAGCCAGAATCAATTTATTGTTCCCTCAAAGATTAAGAGAGGTACTTTTAATGAACCAATTAACTAAGCTGGAAATTCATATCTCACCTTAAAATTAATCAGTGGCATTAAGAGTTAAGATAATTACCAGTCATGGGAAGAAGAAGGGAGAGAGTAGGGATTGAAAACCAGAGGGATTCTGGTTAATGTTCTATTCTTTAACCTGAGTGATCATACAAATATGCTAATTTTGTGGTAATCTTTGAGCTTATGGTTTGTGCCCTTTTAGGTACATATCTTTAAAAATAAATGTTTTACAAAATAAAACCTAGCTTAAATCATATAGTAACTGGCCCTGAAGACCTAGGAAATTAAAACCAATTCCATCTAAAAAGATTTCTATCCAGGCATGGCATGTTAGTATCTAAGAAGCAGCTAGAAGAATGAGAAACTATAAGGAATGAATTTTGATTCTGATTCCTTAGAAACTATTTCTGTGCCCTTGTGAAGCTAAGATCACTCAGAAGAAAAAAAAAATATCGGTTAAAACAAAACCCAACAAGAGAATATCATTTATTTTTGAAGAAAGCCTGGGGCCTTCAGGCTACAAAAAATAACCCAGTAAATAGTATGAAGTTCACACACTGTCTTTCAAGCATACAATATAAATAAGACAGCCTCTTTCAAAAGCCTGAGAGGAAAAGGTAAGACATGTGCCTTAGCCCACCTGATAAACAGGCAATTAGAAGGGAAAGTGATCGAGATGACACAAATAATTTATTGCAGTCTCTCCTTTTTTACTCAACATATTACTGCTTTGCCATTTTTTTTTTTTTTTT